AGAGAAAAGGCATTTTAGAGTCGATGAAAAATGCATACATTTGAAAATTATTCTAATCAATAATAATTGTATAGAGGTTGAAATATTTTCTTGCATAATATATTGGTTATGTCATTTGGCGGATTAAATAAATCCCTTAAACACATAAAACATTGACTTGATTTGTTCTATCACTGACATCACAAGTTTGTTTTCTAATTGTTTTGTTCTTGCTATACAAATGTATCATGGGCATCGTGAATCAAAACTTTGTCATTTAAATCTGGTATAAAAGTTGATGTTTTTGTTTTATTCCAAAAATAAATTGCTACACGACTGAAAGCTTTTACAAATGTCCGTTTAAAGATGTAATGAGGAATGATAAAATTGTTTCATTTACAATTGTTACACTTAAGTGCAATACAATATGGATTACTCACGTAACAATGACGTCGAGTTAGGGGCGGCAAGGGCGGCTACCGCCGCACCCCTAATTTTGGTAAAAGCAGCACAGAAAAAAAAGTAAAAATATTACATTTTGGGTTTTAAAAAGAATGGATCATTGACAAAAACGTCATATATCTGGCACCCGTTTCCAATACGTCATTTATTAATATAAAATGCAACTATCTCCTCGTGCCTCAAGGAAATTTGCCTTACGCAAGATGGTGGCCAGTACCATCCTTGTATATTAATATTGTACTGCCGCAAACTGAGCCGGGAATCTTTGGTTTCTCAAATAAGTAAATGTCGAAACTTTAAAGAATTGAACTGAAAAAGCCAATGAGTTTTATAAAGGTAATATTGAAAGAATTGGATTGCCTTAAAATAGTCCTACTTGGTTTACCAGATACAAATTTATGTTATTATTTACATGTATATACGCACCTGATTTTACAGAGGAAAAAAATGAAAATATTAAAATAAAACAAAACAAATAAAAAAGGCACGTCGTATTTTTTTGTTTGTGTTTTTTTTCCTAAAGTTATTTCTTACTGTAAACATAATAGTTGCTAACATATTGTTTGAATTTAAATTTCCCTGAGCGTTGTTTTGGTAAGAAGAATCCAAAAGTACTATCAATAGTCTGATTGTAAAATAAAGTGATTGAATTTACTTATAATTGGTAATAACTGATATATACAAGTTTTATAGGCTATAGTTCTATAATTATTAGCCTTGAATAAAGTAAACATTAATATAAAAAATATTTAAATATTTGGCGTCTTAAATAATAAATGAACAAAATATAAAGTAGCCATTTTCAATCATCACAAAGCTATCAAAAAGGGCATTAAAAGGAATTCTCATTTTTCAAAATATACTCATGGAGTCTGCAGGCGGGACACCCCTTCAAAACCGCCTTTTCACAGCCGCTCTAGTGTCAAAATCTTCGCGGCGCGCTTGCCCTTTATATTGATATTGAATATGAGCAAAGTTATTTAAAAATAAAATGAATTTCTGAATTAATTTAAAATCAATACATTTTTTCCCTGAAGAAGTAAAGGCGCATCTGTGCTTTAATAAATTAAGAGCATAATACAAGCTTATAATGTGACGGAATGAAGCGTTTTTATGAAATGTTTTGTAATAAAAGTTACACAAATTATAGTGTCTCCCACACAAAACAGTAAATCATTATAACTTATTTATAACCAAAAGGCACATGACTAAATTGCCAACGTTTCGAACAATGTAAGAAAACACCAAAAAAAAAATAAAAAAATTAATACATAAATAAATAAAAAAATTAATACCATCAGACAGATGAAAATACATGTAATAGAAATATATGATAGATTATTATTACCGTTATTTATGGAAGCGTCCTAGTGCCAAACCTGAAATGTTTTTATGTCATAATTAGTAGATAGTAAGTGCTAATTAGTAGAAAGTAAGTGCTAATTAGTAGATAGTAAGTGCTAATTAGTAGATGCTAAGTCAGAATTAGTAGACAGTAAATACTAATTAGGAGATAGTAAGTGCTAATTAGTATATACTAAGTCATAATTAGTATATAGTAAGTACTAATTAGTAGATACTAAGTCATAATTAGTAGATAGTAAGTGCTAATTATTAGATAGTAAGTGCTAATTAGTAGATACTAAGTCATAATTAGTAGATAGTAAGTACTAATTAATAGATACTATGTCATAATTAGTATATAGTAAGTACTAATTAGTAGATAATAAGTCATAATTAGTAGATAGTAAGTACTAATTAATAGATACTATGTCATAATTAGTATATAGTAAGTACTAATTAGTAGATAATAAGTCATAATTAGTAGATAGTAAGTACTAATTAGAACATAATAAGTCATAATTAGTAGAAAGTAAGTACTAATTAATAGATACTATGTCATAATTAGTATATAGTAAGTACTAATTAGTAGATAATAAGTCATAATTAGTAGATAGTAAGTACTAATTAGAACATAATAAGTCATAATTAGTAGATAGTAAGTACTAATTAGTACATACTAAGTTATGACTTAGTATCTACTAATTATAACTTACTATCTAATAATTAGTACTTACTATCAACTAATTATGACTTAGTATCTACTAATTATAACTTACTATCTACTAATTAGCACTTACTATCTACTAATTAGTACTTACTATTTACTAATTATCACTTACTATCTAATAATTAGTACTTACTATCTACTAATTATGACTTAGTATCGACTAATTATAACTTAGCATTTACTTATTAGTACTAACTATCTAATAATTATTACTAAATATGTACTAATTAGTACTTACTATCTACTAATTATAACTTACTATCTAATAATTAGTACTTACTATCAACTAATTATGACTTAGTATCTACTAATTATAACTTACTATCTAATAATTAGTACTTACTATCAACTAATTATGACTTAGTATCTACTAATCATAACTTACTATCTACTAATTAGCACTTACTATCTACTAATTAGTACTTACTATTTACTAATTATCACTTACTATCTAATAATTAGTACTTACTATCTACTAATTATGACTTAGTATCGACTAATTATAACTTACTATCTACTAATTAGCACTTACTATCTAATAATTAGTACTTACTATCTACTAATTATGACTTAGTATCTACTTATTAAGAGATAAAAATATTTCAGGTTTGGCACTACGACGCTTCCATAGTTATTAGACTAATAATAGCAATTTAGCAATTTTGTTTGCACGGCAATGCATATGATTTTGACTTGACGTCATATGCATTTTATTCTTTAAATTATGTGGCGGTCGTAAAAAGTCGCCACGTACATTTAATCAAAGATGTTATACATATATTTTGGATCGTTAAATATCGTTAAGCACGACATGATTGCTGTGTGTGAGTTTGTTGTACTTTTTGTTCTTTCTATTTGATCTGTTTTGTACTGATGGGCTGTTCCATTATTCCTATTTACATACTGTATCATCACCCCCAAGGATATGTTGCCAGGGAATGGCACGAACGTGTAACATTGAATGCCCAATGATGACCACAGTATGAACATATCATGTTGAATTCTGCTTAAGCCGGTGCAAGGGTGCGGTGCGTGGACGAAAACTTGCGTTTTCCAGTACTGTCCTTGGACAGGCTCAATCAAAATACTGCACGTTTGTAACGTCGTTTTTTATTGAATAATCGTGACGTTTATATAATTTATATACACTGTTGCTGTCAATTTATGAAGTTTCTTTTTTTTTCCGGAAACAAAAGTTATTCTTTCGTATATTTTGGCTATTTAAACTTACAGCCATTATTACTATACTGAACCATATAACTTATCAGAAATCTTTATACTAGTAACGAATAATACAAACGTAGCGTCCAGTCACGCTGAAGAATAAGCGCGTCAAGGAAATGAGATGTACATGCAAGTTTACTATGTATACACCTTTAATAACTATATGAAGATGTCAAGTAAAGCTCAGCAAAGTTTTAAAATTCTTGCATGTTAAAAATAAAATTATAACTTTACTAATCTTTAAAATGCCCCTGCCTCTTGAATATGTTTAAATACATTTTGGTTTAATAAACAATGAATATATTTTGTATAGACTTTAGATAGGTTAAATCGTGCGTACGAATATTATTAGTAAGTTGAGATATGTAAACAACACATCATAGAATATTGTACAAAAATGCTTGTATAAACACGTTAAAATAAAAACTTTAATAGAACGAATATTCAGTTGCAATATTAATTTTATCAGTTTGATTCCACCTTTCAGTGTCGTTTGCCTGGAAGCTTGAAGAACTTGTTCACAATTATTTATTGTCTGTTAAATAGATGTCTTATTTTGAAAAAGACGCGATTTTCTTGTCTGCTAGTTATTTTTTTTTTTAAGAGGTGGTGGGTGGAAGTGGGTGGCAGGTCTGTAATAACGAATCCAACTATAAAATACAAGTACAAATACTAAAAACAAACAACTCATATACATAGACAGTATGTTATTATTGTTTTAATTAAGAGATTTAAGTGTAGCCAAATTCAATATCAATGACGTCATTTAATTAAACTTACGAGCCTGTCTCTTACTAGATTAAATGATAGAGGAGTTTGGTAAAAACAAATCCTAAATCACACGTCACTTTAGCTAACTATCTTAAATTCTTATCAAATTTTCCTTATTGAACTATTTTAGATGATATAACTCATCATACGGGACGTTTTACCGATTTCACTATCATTTTTGTCCGCCAAAATGACATGCAGATATGACATCTTGTTACTGTTGCTATGGAAATGGGTAGAGTCAAATGGGATTGAGTCTTATAACCTCTTGTGTGACCACTAAACGCCATGTGCTTATCAACAACACCTCTTGTGCGTAATCAGTTATATGACTGGGAAACTACATGACTTTCGTCAAATATCTCTGACCAAACATTGCAAACTTTTAAACGCGTAGGAATCGCTAATTATCTGTTCGTGTTACGCGCATTGATTCTGCCACTTGTAACTGGCATTTTGATTGGACGAAAGGTGACAAAATCCCGATAAAACGCTTGCTTGGATTGGTTATTATTACTTAATGTAAGCGCGTTATCAAAATCGCACACGTAAAAACGCTTGTATAAAAGAGAGTTTTTATTTCATGATTTGGCGGAACAAAAATAAATAAATTTGAAAGACTCGGATAAACTATCCTAATTGGCAAAGGTAAGAATAATATTTAAGTTAAATTTATTGTTTTAGAAAATAGTCTCTTATAACTGTTTGAATTTAAAGAATTTCTGATATACATATTTAGCTATGTTATAATTTTAAGAATTTAGTTTACTGTTTGATAGTTTGTAATTATTTGTTGTTTGACTGCATCAGAAATGTCATTGGAATTTTTAACTGATTATTTCTGTTTTAGGTTTTAAGATATTTCACATTCTTCTTTAATTTGTCTGTAAACTGTGTCAATTATATTCGCTTCATTATTTTAACTTAATTTTTCTCGTTAAATTTGCATTAAATCATAGTAAGAGGCCAATAAGCTAAATCAAATTTTGATTTAAATCAAATTAAATGAAATAAAAAACAACAACACTTAAATCTCTTCACATGTTGGTTTTTAGTCACAATTTCCATATAGCAGAGGATCAAAGATTTCTTTGGCACTTACTATCTAGTATGAATTAAATATCGAAAAACAGAATGCAATATACTCATGACTAAGTTTCATCCAGATATGCAGTCTTTCAATATTATTTTTTTAATGTGCATTTCTGTTTTATCACTTTTTTGAAATATTGGAAATAATTTACGTAATTGTTACTGATTGTAACTGATAGAGTTAACATTATGTGATGTATTGTATAAGTAAGTAAGTACGTAATTTATTTATTATAGGTACATGCGATTGCATATTAAAAGTTAAAGGCCCAATGGGCTTATAAGTGAGCTTCACTAAACATGAAATATTTACATAAAGTCGAAACAGACACATTTGTCGGAAATCGTAGCTATTACGTGATAGAAATATGAATAAAACATATTATTATTGCCTTGAATATGGTAATCATTTGTTAATAAAATGCAGATACTCTTTGTTTAAATTACACTTCATACGATATGTGATTTTATTCTATAAATTAATCTGTACATGACATGTAAATATTCTTCTAACTATGTTTTGCATTTAATTACGAAATTGAAAAAATATTACAAATAACATAAATGGAGTAAAGTACTTATGATTAATTCAAAAGTAAAATTGATATCGTCAAAAAGGCAAAGAATAACGTTAATCACATATTTTGATAGCTTACAACAATTTTGTATGTTTTTTCTTTCTTTTTTAAATGTTTCAGATTTTTTTAATCGTAGAAATCAGTTTGATATAGATCAATATTTTATATACCTGTTGTTAAATTCACAGCATTGCGGACGGTATTAAATGCTTCCACGAATAAATTCATTTTTATTAAATATAATTGACTTTTAATTGGATGAAGAACGTAGCAAATGGCATAAAACACTTTTGCAAACTTCCCTAGATACGATAAAATTAGCAACATGTATAAATCTATGCTAGATAAGTCGTGGGAATAACTATTCCTTTGCAGGTATGATGATAAAACCAATTTATTTTTTTCAATAATTCAGCTTTACATTAAAAATACAATAAAATTTAAGAGTAAAGACTTGTGTAATAATATACGAGAAGATAATCTACAATAAACATAATTTTGTTAGTGCTGTTTTTGTATCTTAATAACGATTATTATGCCACATCCCTTTATAAGTTTTTTTTCTCTTTAAATCTCATTCAATTTGAAATTTGAATGATTTCTAATTTGTAAAAGAGACGATCAATTTGCATCGGCACGTTTAACTGGATTCGTGAGAGTTTTAGTCTGTAACAATTATCTCTGTTGCTTCTTATTTCTTTCTAAAGTGGGATTCAAATTTTGTTATCCTTGTACCTTTTTATTTCTTTCACACGGCAAAACATGATTAATAACGATTGATGATGAAAGTGTTTTACGGTCATTTTAAATGTGTTTTTAATATGTTTAGCACACAATAATTGATTTCAAATCAGCTCAAAAACCAATTGACTTTCTTTTTCGGGAAAAAAACGTCGCCATTTTAATTTAGACCGGGCACACCCATATTGTCTGACCAAGCTCTAACTGTTGGCTGAATACTATGTTTGAATGGTCATCTTCATATCAACAAAATTTCTTATGGACAGTTCCGAAAATGCTATTTGGACAAGACCATTTAAGAAATTCACCAACTTATGGTTTAACAAATTACGTATACTATTTAAAGAGCGTCTCTGTAATTCAGATTAAAACTAAGCGTCACAGTGATAAATTCCTTTCAACATCTGAATGCGAGTTCGCACTCTCGTTCCTTAGCAATGTTAGTAATTAAGTCAATTAAAGACACCATACTATCGCTCAACTGGTAATTTCTGAAAAATGGTTTTTACGCCACGTGTTTAATGGCTTGTGGTATATATGGTATAACATTAGTTCTAAAAGAAGGATTATGCCATATATGTTCTCTTGAAATTAGGGAAAGGTAAAATTGTAGTGACGTTTGCGGAACAAGATATTCCTATCTAGATTAAATTCCCATTATGCCTCAGAAATGCTATCATTTTTATTTCTCGAAACCTTTTTTTTAATTTTTGGTATCATTTTACCGCCGTGTTTTTCCAGAATAATCATATTTTTTGCAAAATGACCCAAAAATGTAAAGCGTTGCAACGTTTTTCGCTCAAATTGGACAAAGAATCGCACAATATTCGATATACAATTCAATTATGGGTATATTTCTTTATTATCCTTTGCAAATTTTCCATTTTTTTAAACTTGATCCATGTAAGAATTTCAAATTTTATGTTTAAAGCCTTTTAATTTCAGTGAAGCACCATTGAAAAAGGTAATAAGTTTTGTTGTTATATGATGACATTGTCAGTTAGTGTTGGACACATGCAACATTGAAATACATAGCTACCTTTCCTACCACGACAATTTGTTTAATCGCTAAATAAGCCTGAAAATGAATCTTAATGGATTAAAATTCGAAATATATACTTCTTTTCTCAATTGAATCTTTCCCTTAATCGATATATATCAAGATATGATTATTTCTGTAATAAAATCTTTCTTTCCTAAAACGTATGTCTGACAGTCATTTTTGCATTTATCAATATCAAATTGTAGACAAGCAAACACATGTTTCTTCTGTTGCAACAACCAACACGATTACAGAAGGTTCTCGTTAAGTACTATCATGCATTTTTAATCCCTCGTGTAAAATAGATGAAATAATAGAACCTAAATGAAATAATAGAATTGTTCGAGGAAAAAACAAAACTGTCATGAATAATAGAATTATAATGAAATAATAAAATCGGTTGGAAATAATAGAATAGAATAAAATAGATTATGTAGGATAAATGGAAAAAATAGAACTGTAATGAAGTAGTTTAGTTACCAATCTTGATTGGTTGCTCTCTAACCTTCACCCTGTTGAATTTGTGCAAAGGGTTTCTCAGAATTTGTAACTTTTTAAAAGGCTTGCAGGATCTTATGTGTGTAACTTATACACTTGGAAAAGGAGAGGTCCCTAAATAAAAACCATAAATTGTTAGATATTGTAGACTCGGTTTGATTGGGTCTGTTCATTAACAATATTGGAAAATTCGTCATCTCTTAGGCCCCTAGCACCGACTTAAGAAGCATTCAGTCTTCAACAGTCTTCGGCATGTTTTTCTTAGCTGAGTTTGAATTCTCAAGGCTCTAAAGCAATTAAATCTGCATAAGAGTATATTTTCCACTACAAGAAATATTGCTTGCGATTTTATAATGCTCTTTGCACTCACTTGGGAATATAGTTTCTAAAAGAAAAGTAGTATTTAATAATATAATAATTACATTGCGAGCTTTCCCCCGCTTTTTCAAAAGTTTTGTTCCTGTTTTTGAGGAAAACATGGTTGAACTATTTCTTTTTGTCGTATATTCTAGGGACATTGACTCAGTTTTCACTTAGGACTAGGAATTGAATTTAATTTCCTCAGCAGCATCCACTGGCACATTAATTTCCCTCAAATTTACTCGAATTCTTACAAAAAAATATCAAATTTAGATCAAAACCACCTCTAGCAAGTGACACAGTGTTAACCTTTCTCAAGAACTACTTTTTGTTTTTATTATAAAAACTATCAACGAGTTGCTCTTACAAGAAAACAAAAATAAATTGACAAAATTTTTATCATCTTCTAATGGACAAAAAGTGGTATTCTCTTTAATCTTTGTTAACAACAACAAACAGTTTTGAAACATTATTTGGATACTTTGTTATGTTGTTACTACAATGACAATTTGTCTTTAAGGATGAGTATGTTTTAAAATGCTACCAATGTGAAACAAGTAATATTTTTATTAATACATATTGTCTAGAAAACCTAGTTCATCTATTTTGCATTATTTTTAAGTCAAATTTGTCATTAAATATGCTTCAACTTTCTTAATTTTAATTATGCTTAGTATCAGAATGCATAATTAGATATCTTTATGAAACACATGCTGACCTGAAGCATTTGCAAGAGGTAAAAGTAAAGGCAAATCGGTGCTTTTGGGTATTTGTAAGACTCAAGATCAAAATGACCAATAAAAGTTCTACTTGTATTCACTTGTTCTCTGTATAATTTTATAGGGAGTCAAATTTGTTCACAGAAAGCTTTCGGCCAAAAGCAAAACAACCTCAAAAACCCCCCAAAAAACCTAGTTTATTGGTTTATCTTAACTATTCTGATTCACTAACTCATACTTTTAATATATGCCATGATAATGATTAATTTGATTGATTGATTGATTGATTGATTGAATGAATGAAATGATTGATTGATTAATTGATTGACTGACTGACTGACTGACTGACTGATTGATTGAACATTCTCCAAACTCGAAAAAGTACGATAAAGATACTTCTGGAAAGAATAAAATAATATAAATTCCTTTATTAAAGTGCATAGACAAATTCCAACAAATATTGAATAGTACAAAGCAATCTATTCGAACGCATTTAATGATATTGGAAAGTCTATGCTTTCTCTGTTTCCAACTATTCTTTGAACATATCGTTTATCAATGAAATACATATATACTCTGACAAGTTAGTTTAGATTACAATTGTTAGACAAAAATTTA